GGATTGTTTGAGTGAGAAAATTATGGAAAAATTATATATGAGTTGGAAATGATGAAGGAAGTATTATACAAGCCTTAGAAAAACTGGGGATCATTTCGTAAGTTTTGAAAAGTTGGAGATCAATTCGTAAATTCTAGAAAATGGAGGGATTGTTGTGTAAGTGTTATATAATTGATGTGCTATGCTGGAATTTTTGGTATTAAAGATTTAGGTGATAAAATGGTGAATGACCATTTTGAGTAAATTGGAAAAGTTGGTTCCAATACTAAAATAAGAATTAATAATGTTAAAGTATTTGGTGGTGAATAGTTTGAAGCATGATTATGGAATATATTTTGGTTATATATTTATGTTAGTACAATACTAACATATATAAGTATGAATCTATATTCTGTATAGATTGTGATTTACTCGGTGTTCAAAACGATTCGAGTATAAAAGAAAAGGGTTATTGTGGACAATAGTGAGGCTTATTTTGGAAAATTATAAAGTGTCAAGGTGAGTGCAACACATGCATGAAATTATACATGGATGTTTTATACATCATTAGGAAGACTTGCGATATGTCGACCTTGTTTTATCAGCATGATATTATATCATATTTTTATAAATTGACATGACATTGATATGTCAGAGATTGAAATTATAATGCGTTGAGTTGAAAAAATGTGATATTTTACCATGAATATTATTTCGGGTATGAACTGCCCAATGTTAAATTTTGATAATATACTTTGCCATGGATGGATCAAATAAAATAGACTGTATGCCCAAGTCAGTTATTGAGGGACAGGGTATAGTTGGTATGCCATAGAGTCTAGCAGCAGGCTGCATATTCGGGAATACACTAAAGGATACCTAGTGTATATAGTGGGCACGACCTTATGTGTCATATTCGGGACTGTACTTAAGGATACCTAGTACAGATGGTGGGCACGACCTTATGTGTCATATTCAGGATATAACTACGGTGCTTATATTTGACTCGTGTACCCAGGGTCCTCAGGGTTGTATATTGGGCTATTGTCTATGGTTTATGGTTTATTGGTTAATAAATGGTAAGTTTTGCAAATAAGCTTACGAATTATTGGAATGAATGGCAAGTATTTTGGAAAGAATATTTTTATATTCAACTATGATATTTTGATCATGGTAAAATTATGAATATGCTAAGAGCATGGTTTTATGGCATTGGATTTGAAAACTAAATTCATGCATGGATTGTATTGCATTGTTATTGTTTTAATTGCCTCACTAAGTATATACTTAGAGTGTGATGATGTTCACGCGTAGGTAAAAAGCCCGTAGAAGAATAGAGAGTTCAAGGCAACATCAAGCATCAAGAAGTATATTTCTTTATCAGTAAGACATCCTAAAATGTAATGTAGACTTAATTAGTGGCATGTAATTATTATGTTTTATTTGCTTTGTTGCACAAAATTGGAAACAAGAAAAAATGGAATTTTATGAACTTATATGTATTTTCGCAGTTACTGTAGCAGTTATTGTTCATTGATACAGTAACCGCGTTTAGCAAATTTCCAGATTACAAAAGGGGAACTGATTCCCCTGCTACATGGAATCGATTCCGCCACTATTCACTGTTACTGTTCACGGGTACTATTTACTATTCATATAAAATAAATCTTTTGAATTAAAATTGGTTACAACGAAACATGATTTATATGATAGGGTATTTTTATAATATTATTTACTATTTTAAGAAAATAAATTTTAAATCGCTTTTGAATCGTATAATGGTTTTAGAAATTCGGATAACATCTATAATCTGTATAGGTATAATTATACGGGTTATGGGTGTTAAAGTAGCAATCCTTTGCGTTTTTGTGACACCATTAGGACCATGATAAGTGATAAGATTACATTGAACATTATACTAATCTTAAATCTTTAGGTAACTCCAAAACATTATCATTAGAACTGATTCCCTTTAGTTTTGTAAGGTTCTACTCCCCTCAAATGTAGTTTCTTGAAAGTGCTTGTAGGAAATCATTCTGGTCAGATATAAGTAGTAAACATTTATCATCTCTGAAATGTGCTTATTTTGAATGCTAATTTGTATAGAATATAAATCTGCTTATCATGTATGGAATAGAGTGGATATTCACCTTACTGTCCAACCATTAATGCAACATGTATTAGCTGAAATATTTGTATCTTGAATAATCTCTCTTTAATTGCTAAGTCCAATTAATTTAGCCGACATATAAATTAAGATGTAGATCATTCTATTCAAGGCATCAACAACCTTCTATTTACTTTCTACTTAAATTTTCATTATGGGTAGTGTGGTTAAGTATGTCTTTCCAGGTTCAACAATCTTGTCATTTTTCCTTGCCACATTTGGGCCACTATTATATACTGTTGAACAAGAAAATAGCAAGTGGTAGCTATAGGCACAATGTTACCCCACATATCATCTTTATATACAAAGTTCCACAAAACTGCTAGTAAAAATCAATATGCAGAATTAGGTGCAGTGGTATGATTCTTGCATAGGGTACAAGAGGTCCCAAGTTATATGACCATAAAACTGGGAATTAAGTCAACTCCAAAACTGGAATAATATAGAAGCTTAACTTGATATGCAGAACATTGATTGAGCAGTCACTAACTGCCTAATTGTCCAACAACATCTTCCTTAAACCATTCTTGTACAACATTCAACTCACCAACAACTAAGCATATAGCCATATAACCATCCAAATTTATCAGATTATTGAAGAAAGAAATCATGTTAAACATAAAAAATTGGGCACTTCAACTAGTGGTATAATTCCACTAGCATTCATCTAGCAAACAAGTTAGCGGAGAGAATCCAATCAAAATTCACAGGACTTGAAGAAAAATAGATAACCAATAAAAACACATTCTATTAAACATCAATCATTGAACATGTAATCTAGTCGTATGATTCTCTATTCAAGTATGAGAGGTACTAAGTTCAACTCCGTAAATGCACCAAACCCTTTCTTTTTTCAATTTCCAAAATTTGCAACTGGAAATCAAATAATTGATCGTCATAATCCAACTTCAACTGGAAATCTGCATTGTCAATTGATTAAGAGTATACTGATACAGAAATTCAAGTGTGGTCGGGTGGATGAGACTCTTTTTCTATCATAATATACAAAATACAAGAACTAACTTAACCCTAGGCTTGAAGTAGTTGGAAAAAAATCAAAGAATGCTCGTGAAACACTAAAATATATATGTAGAAATTAAGAAATCATCAGTCGAAAACATCCACTTACATTGTACAAAAATCACGATAAATTAGTAAACAGTATAATAGAACAAATAACACGAGAAGTCGTTAAGCTCCATAGCAGCAACTAATAAGCGGTTACTGGTTAGTTTATGAGGAGTAGGGCGGTCCATTTAAATTACTGGAAAATGGAGAAAGAACGAAGGGAAAGCTTGAAGTGGTTAATTTCCATGGTTTTCTTGTTCAACAGTATATGATAGTTAGACTCTGTAGAAATATGAATATAATTAGGTCTTATTTTGTACTGAATTTTGAATTATTACAGAAGTCAAAACCACCGAGGCTACTGAATCAGCTAAATAATCAGACGGAGTGAGTAGTTGTTTGATCTTGTCTTTCATCTTCTAACTGCTGCCATGTTAAATTACATAATTTTCTTGTGGTGCCAACTGCCTAGTTGAGGTCTTGGTGGTTCTTTATTTTGAGTGTAGGTTCTAAAACTGTTAACAATTGCCTGTAAGTTGAGGTCAGATTGCTTAAAATGTATAACATTTCTATGTGATATGGTTGATACCCATCAATAGGGAAATTTTGACAGATGAGCAGTAAAATTATACTGTCTTTAACAGTTGAACTAGTCAGAATTAAAAATTTCAATTGCTCTTTCATGAGATCTTACTAGTTAAATTTGAAAATCTTTTCCTTAATCAAAAAAATAAAATAAATAGATTTTCATGTTTAAGTTACTTAAAAAAATTGGGAAGCGAGTAAAATGGTTAATAGGGTTGTTTTTAAGGGTGAAACAGGTTGAGGTTTAAAAGCAAAAAAAGAAAAGAAATGTGTGACTACCTACTTGTTTTACAGTAACTTGTTGAACTGTATTGACATAGTTGCTCTTCTACCATCATTTTGTTATGGTGCCATTTTTATTGTGTTCAATTATTTTTATTGTGATGACAAACAATTGTTCTTGTTAAATATTATTATTTTCTAATATTAAAATGTATGATCATAATAACAGTTATGGCTCGTTTACCAATGCGAAAGAAGACGCATATCGCCACAATTCTTATTTTACAATGCAAATGATGGAGATTGTGTGTCATATGCTTATGGTTATTTCAGTTATTATTAGAAAATATAAAAATCGACCTAAAATAACTTATGCACATGAAATACTTCATTGACATAATATTAGATCAATTAATTTACATAAAATTATATTTGAAAGTGATCGCCAAAGTGTTGATAATTGTCGAATGGATAGGAGAGCATTTATCAAATTGTGTCACCTATTACAAAGTCAAGGTGGATTAAAAGAGAGTCGATATATGTCTATAGAAGAAATGGTTATTACTTTCCTTCATATTATATCCCACCATATTAAGATTAGAGTTTTAAAACATCAAACAGTAAGATCTGGTGAAACAATTAGTAGAGTTCTCCATATAGTGTTAGCTTCAGTCTTGAAACTGCATCCGATCCTTTTTAGAAAACCAGAACCGATACAAGATAATTCAACAGACGATAGATGGAAATGGTTTAAGGTATTGTATCATAATTTTGAACTTTCTTTTAAGTTAATTAGTAATGCTTAATACATAAATGGATAGTAATAATGCAATTGAACTTTATTTGATGAATATAGGGATGCTTGGGTGCTCTAGATGGAACGTATAGTAAGGTCAATGTAGCTGCAATCGATAAACCTAGATACAGAACAAGAAAAAATGAAATTGCGACAAATGTACTTGGTGTTTGCACACCAAACATGCAATTTATTTATGTTTTACCTGGGAGGGAAGGTTCTGCAGCTGATGGTAGAATACTCAGAGATGCCATTAGTAGAAGAAATGGTTTAAATGCTCCACAAGGTAAATTATTAGGTCATTAATATATATATATATGTATATATAAAAGAATGTAAAATTCTTCCAAGTTTTGTATATTAATTTACTTTTTAAATTAAAATAATATAGGGTGTTATTACTTATGTGATGCTGGATACACGAATGGAGAGGGATTTCTTGCACCATATAGAGGTCAAAGATACCACTTGAATGATTGGAGAGAAGGACATCAACCTACCACCCCTCAAGAATATTTCAACATGAAACATTATCAAGCTAGGAATTGCATTGAGAGATGCTTCGGCATATTGAAAGCGAGATGGGCAATTTTAAGGGGAAAACCATTTTATCCAGTGAAAACACAATGTAGACTCATTTCAGCTTGTTGTCTTCTCCATAATTTCATAAGATCTGAGATGCCAATCGATCCTATTGAATCTGACTATACTGAAGATAGTAGTCATGTTGAAGAGATTAATGAAGTAGAAATGATCAGACATTGTGAGCCAAGTAGTGCTTGGACTGAGTGGAGAGACAAATTAGCAGAAGATATGTTTACTAGTTGGTTGGCGTCACATACTTTAGGATAAATGTTATTTTATGTTATGTATGACTTCCACCTTCTATTTTATCTAATGTTAGTGGTCGTTACTTTCATGTATTTGACATCTTTATATTTTATGTCATAAACTTTATTAAATTTTCTGTAATTCTCTTCTATAAAATTCAAATTTTATTTGTTATGGACATTCACTACTTATGTCATTCACTACATTTGATTTATATTATATTACTATTTTAAATTTCATTTATGATTAGTATTGACAATGATGACATGTTTTTATTATGTTATACATTTTTTATATACATCTTCTTAGATTGTTTCGAAGAGAAATATGTCAACATCAAATATGAAATCTCAAAGGGGGAAAAACCACCGACATCTAGAAAGGTTAAGTCTTTAGTAACTAAAAGGACATGGACTAAAGAGGAGGATGATGCACTTGTTGAATGTTTACACATTTTGGCTGAAGACCCACATTGGAAAGCTGATAATGGAACATTTAGATCAGGTTATCTATCTAATCTTGAAAAGATGTTAGAAATCAAACTTCCAACATCACAAATTAGGGCCCACACACATATTGAATCTAGAGTGAAGCTACTCAAAAGAAAATACAATGCTTTATCTGAAATGCTGAATATTGGAAGTGGATTCGGTTGGAATGAAGAAGAAAAATGTTTAACTACACCAAAGGATGTGTTTGATGATTGGGTTAGAGTAAGTATTTTAATTGAATTTATATTCTTTCTATACTCTTTCTTATCTACTTAGCTTTGTAAGATTTATTAAATTTGCAATTTTATTATATTGTAGAGTCATCCAACTACTACTGGATTGAGAAACAAGTCATTTCCATTCTTTGATGACCTTGTTCATATATTTGGAAAAGAAAGAGCTACAAGAATAGCAGCAGCTGATGCAGTGGAACATATTGATGTTGAAGACAATGCATTTATAGATGCATTACTTGAAGAAGAGGAAGTAAGAGATTCTGAATCAAGAGAGGATGTTGGTGCTTCAACTTGCCAAACATCTGATGCTACTGCCTCTACCCCTACAATGAAAAAAGTAGCTAGCAAGAAAAGGTCTCGAAGTGATGATGGGTTAACCGAGCTTGTACAGGAGATAAGTAAGTTCGGTGCTACATACCGAGAAACTGCCAAAGAAATTAAGGATATTACTGCTTTATTGAAAAAAGAGACAGAAGGAAATGATCGAAGAATGTCGATTTTCACTGAAATCATGAAAATTGAAGGACTGTCCACTGATGAAATGCTTACTGCAGGAGAGTATATGAGCAAAGATGCGCACAAGGTAGATTTCTTCTTTTCTTTGCCGAAAGAATTCAAGCAAGATTATGTGATTAAGCAATTGGTTGAATGCCGTCAATTTAGACCATCATTTTTACTGTCGTCCTTCTACAATTATGTCGATCTCTTTTTTATTATGACTTTAGAATATGGTCCCAACTTTTTTGTGTAGCTTAGCCAAGTATATGTCAATCTTTTGACTTGAAGAATTTTGTGTGTATATAATATAGCCAACATATATGATTACATTTAGAATGTCATGGGTATTATCTTTTGTAAGTCTGAACATTGTACAATCTTTTGATGGTTAATGTTATACTTCTTTTTGTTATGTAGTATATGAGTTGCAAGTAATGTGCTAGTTTTCGAATATGTTAATTAGAGCAGCGTACTGGATCAGCCACTGAAATTGTCTATAAAAATCAGCATATCTATCAGTTCTTACGCCTTACGTGTTCATGAGGAGATTTCTGAAAGCTGCTCAATCAAACAAGAAGCTTGAGCTTCTGTCATACTATACGTATAGTATACAAAATGTATGTTTTATCTTCGATGCTTCATTCATGTCGATCTAGAGCCCATCAACAAGTACAAGTTCATGAAAACGACGGATTTCATCACCCCACCATGCAATAGTTTTCGGGTTGAGGAAGTCCGAAAAATTAACAGCCCCAGGCCACACTTGAGCCAAGTAAGGCTCACCATCATACTTGATAAATACATCATTGGCAATCCCTCTTTGGTATACACCATAACTGGAATTAACACAAATTCCAGGATCAATAATGACAATGTATTTCATGCCTCTTCTATGAATTTTGTCCAGGAATGCAAGAAGCTTCGGACGAGGGTAGTTTACGGTGTTGAGGGTGAAGTCCTTATGGCCATCCATATGATCATCTTCGTTCCAGATCACGTCCAGTGGGTTCTGAGCCTTCTTGTAGTTCTCAACAAGATCTTTGACAACAGAGAGGTTATGATAACCCTATCGACATTGGTGAAACCCTGCAAATCAAATTTATAGAAATATATATATATATATATATATTTATAAAAGAATGAATACATTTTATTCGTACCAGCTGGTCAGTATAAGATGCTAAGTTAATCTTTAAGACTCCTCATGTTAAGAGAAACCCCAAAGCTGACAATGAAGGCTACAAATTACACGAAGCGAAAATCTAATGACCAATGGTACCTTTGTTGTTCTCTGTTCTTTTTTAACTTCCATTTTTTCACAAAAAATGCAGAAAACAACTCCATATCAGTATTGGAATGAAATATTGTAGTAAGAGTTCATAATGGCATAAAAATTTCAGAAAGTTGTAGGAACAACCGAACTACCTGACAAAACTCCCTCGTGCTATTGCGAAAATACAAACACATTATTGAAGATCACGTGACATCCATAACATGTAAGCTGGCTTTACCCAAGCATTGCAAACAAATAATAAGATAAGATGTATGTTATTAGAACAATAGAATCCCTTCACCCAGATATGCAATGGTTTTCTTCTTTGGCCTCAACTGTCAACGTAGATAAATAACAAGTGTCAATTAGTCACAACGAAAAAGCACAAATGCAATTGAAGTTTGTAGGATACAATACAATCGAAGAACTTGGATACTTCAACAACCAGCAAGATGCAGGAATATCGACAGAGGGAGGATCTAAATCTAACTAGATGCATGCACATTATATTTTTTTAGCTAAAATATCGGACTCGGGGAGTAAGTGTCGGATACAAGTATGTTTCTAACATAGGTATGTCGGTCACGAGTAATCTAGAAAAAAACCGAACTCAAGATACCATAACACGATAGTGCTTCCAAGAACAACTAATTTCAAATGATGTTCGTGATCCAAGATTTACATTTGTATTCTTACTCAAGTATTATCTCATTTGTTACATAACAAAAACTCATTTTAATATATTTTTACATAAATTATGTAAAATTTAATATTAATTAAAATTAAAATAATACATGATATATTTAAATACTTAAGTAATATATTATCAAAAAATAGAATTTTTATATAAATAATTTTTATTTAAATATTTAGAATTTCACTTGTTAAAAAAACAAATAATATACATTCCAGTAATCTTTTATTCCTTCAACCAAACACTGTAATCTTACATTCCTGCCAAACTAACCAAACACAGTAATGTAACATTCACAGTAATCCTATTCCCTGGTAATCTTTTATTCCCACTGGTAATCTTACATTCCGTAAATCAAACGCACCCTAAGTAATTTATTACTCCCTCCATCCCATCACATTATTAATATACGATATTAACTATGTATATATTTAATCTAAAAAATAATAAAATTATTCTTACAATATAATTAATTGATTTGAAAGATTTATTTTAATACATAAAAATACTGAGATATAAGAGTAAAAAAAATATTTATATTTTTTTATTGATTTTTCTAATAAGATATTTTAAATTGAATAATTTTAAAACTCAAAAGAAACATATTTAATGGGACGGAAAGAATATATTATTATTAAATATTAAAATAAATTAGAGTAGATCAGGTTATATTATTTTGATCATTAAATTTAAAAATTATAAAAAAATATTAAATTTATTATATTATTATAAAATTTATCAAGATACTATAAAATAATTATTAAATTTATTAAAATTTTATAATTTATTATCTTAGGAGGCGAATCTCTAAAATTTTAGAAGTGAAAAAAATTTATAAAATTCTAAGAAAGAAAAATATAATTTTAATAAAAATACATAAAAATCTAAAATAATTTTAAATTTTTAAAGGGATGATTGCCATAACTTAATAATTCTAAGTATATTTTACCCATTTTTAGTTACAATTATCTTGATTAATTCAATATTGAATCAAATATGATTACATTTCAAAAAAAAAAAATAAAGCCTTCAACCTTAGTTTTTCCTATACACATAATTTTAACTAAAAATATATATTTTGAGAGTATGTAATTCTTTTTATTTTTATTTTGTGATCGAGAGTATGTAATTCTTTAACACCTAACAAATTATTTATAACTCTAATTTTTAAATCAAAGATTATTATGTGTTAAACACATTTAAACTTATAATTATAAACATTATTGACTTTTTTATAGGTATTTTCAGCTTGAAGTTAGAAACATGAAACCACAAACAATTTTTTTTTGAAGTGAAATTCATTATTTTATATTTGGTTTTAATTAAATTGTGAGATTATCTCCTTCATTAGAATTGCGATGATGATAAGTAATTTATGTTTCTTTATTTAAGTGAAGAGTTTATAGTAGGTGACTGAAATGGACCGAGGAAGATAAACGATAATAGCTGAGAGATAGAGATAGAAAGATGGAGGCCAAGAAAATGAAGAAGATTCTCTCTTTTGATCTCGTATGATAGTTTATATATCGACGACTTTTAGTAATAGTGTCAAGCTTAAGGTCGTGATGATTATCTCTAGACTGGTAAGACAAACAAATATGACTGTCGTACAGTAGATTTTGTTTGTGATAGAATTGACAGCAATCGGATCAAGGGATTGTAATGTTCATGGACCTCCAGATACTTCTCAAGAACTATGGATGCCTTAATAGGTGGAAGATAAATAATAGAGATGTGTTTTGAGGAGGAGGTTCAGAGGGTACAACAATAAATATAAATAAACTTTTATAATATTTATTTAAGTTGGATCGAATTTAAATAATTATATATGAACTCTATACAAATCTGATTCGATATACCTGTAAAGAGCTTGAGAAATATTTCATTAAAATGTAGAATTGTAAAGATGATACCAAAAAGCCAGTAAGCACCAACTCTCTTGTCAGCATGGATAATGGCCACATGCTTGAAGACCTTGTGCCAATTCGGCCTGGCGAAATAGGTCTTCGCTTGTGTTCCCAACACAGTATCCACACAACTTTGTGGAGCACTGAAGCACTAGCGGATCTAGAAATTAAAAATAATAATGGTTTAAAATTATAATATTTTATTTTAAAAATTTTGGGTATGTAAATTTCCTTATTTTCCTTATTTTTATTAATAAATTAAATTAAATTTAATTATTTTTCCAAAATATTGGATGTGCAAGTGTTCACCTAGAGAGCGACATGTATCCGCCTCTGGACTGAAGCATGGTGATCAAAGCTGACCTCGCATCCCTTCTTTGTACACACTCGTGCAGTAATTGTGAAGCTCGATCACCCGGTCCCGATAGTACTCGGCCACCTCATTCATCACTCACTAGAACCACTCGAACGAGCCTTACTCTCGAGTGACCTAATAGAAGTAAGCTTGTTTAGTGACGAACGACTTCCTTTTGTTTTTGGTTACTCCCGTAGTTCGATCCCTTCTCTGATTTCGATATGTTGTTTGATGTTGTTGAGCAAGTCTTTGACAATGCTAATTAGTGGGGTGGCACCAATGACGTCGTAACTTTTTGTAGTCTTGGGCTGGGGCTCCATATGGATCGTTAATAAACAGTCTTGGCAACTTGTTTGATTTAATAGATTGAAATCCAATGTTAGAGTTTGTGGTATCGTTCTCATTAAAAGATATAGGTTCGAGTAGTTATGTCGATAAATTAAAAATAATTCTAAACAAATACTATCTCGTAATCATCTAAACTATTACAAAAATCTGATTTAAAATTATCTAATTTTGAAATTGACAAGGACTTCAAAAGTATTTAAACCAGATAATTAGGGGCTGAGGATTAATTTGTCTAATTTAAAAAAATCAATAGAGATCAAATATGTATTTTTGTTTAGAAGACCTAGGTCTAACTAAATTTAGACACACGTGCATATAAAGTTACACACCATGTAATTCCGTCCCTAAATCCATACATGAAATTGACCACAATAGAAACTTGCTCAAAAATATTAAAACTAAAATTAATCTGATCTAGATTGACTCGATCTAAAACCAACCAAAATCGGCGAGATGTGATTGGATATAAGAAATTTACCTAGGCTTGTTATCACATTTATACCAATATCTGCTATCAAGAGGCCACTTTGATAAACAGATGGAGCATGGCAAACCTACAAATCAAGTTACATTAAGTAAAACCATTGAGATACTTAGTCTTTTTGTACCATTTCTTGGGGAGGTAGAGATAGTACCCATGGACAATGAAGAGGACATAAACACTGATAATAGATTATGAGAGTACCAAAAGGCATTGAATTTGATCAATTTATGAAGGTTTAGACGGTTTAGTCAGAACCAAGGTTGGGCTAGTATGTAGGCTATGGCCATAAGCATCACCATGGTCACACTGGTCTATGCTTCAGTCCCTTTCATGAATTAAGATGATGATGTGGTATGTGACACATCAGTAATTTTGTAATGCCCGGATCCAGGGTTAGGAGTTTTGGGCTAACTCGAGATAGGCCTTGAATTAAATCTCTAGCTTGTAGGAACCTTTAGACCAAAAACAAGTGAAATTAGGATTAAATTTAGCCTAATAGTGAATAAAAAGGATGTTTTTAAT